TCATTAAATATCCAGTCACTGTTTAAATTTCAGTTGACTCTAAATGCCATTATTTATTTTTATTTTTTACAATTTATTTGTTTAAATCAGTGTCCACATAAGGTCCACATTCCAGTTGGCTGATACAGCCTTTGTATCTTTTTTAATCTAACATTTCTAGTTCATACCTCTTTTCTTTTCCTCCCTTACAATGTATTTGTTAAAGAAGCCAGGGTTTTGTTCTGTACTTTTTATTCTAATGTTTCCAACTCATACCTCTTTTCTTTTCCTCTCTTGCCATGTATTTGTTAAAGAAACTAGGTTTTATTCTGTACTTTTCAAGTCTGTATTTTATTAATTTTATACCCATGGTATAATTAGCATGTTAAGTTCTCTAGTTTCTGTCAATTTGTAGTTGTATCTAGAATTCTTATTGGATTCAGGTTTATAAAGGGTGTGTGTTCTTTAGTCTGGAAGCATACAATGTCTGGTTGACTCTTTGAGGTTAACCACTATAGATGTTCAACCTAGATTCCTTAATTCATTAAGTTGCAAGATAGTGATATTTCAATTTATACTTTCATTTTTATTTATAAGCTGGATTACTTCTGTAAAGCTAAATTTCTCCTCGTTTACTATTACCCAGTGGTATAAGTCTATAGGAAAACAAAGCTTAATTATTCTATGTATTTAATAATTTTCAAAATAATGAGTTATTGACTAGCAATCTCCAATGCTGATCAGTCATTTTCAGTCTGTCGCAATTATTGTCCTTATCATATTCAGTTTGTTCCATCTTTGGACTGAATTCATTTGACAAGACTTTAACTTCTTTGCAGTTACACCCTGTGTTTCAAGCTCATCTTGTAAATATTCTGCCATAGACCTGAGATTAGCCATTTGTCCTAGGAGCCCTGGTTTCTAACTCCTTTGTCCTTGGTGCTAACTAATCCATTGTCTTCTTAGTAGACTTCATGTATCTCAAGAGAAATGCAAGATTTATTACCAATATTTCTTTGATGCAAAGTGTAAGGCCACTGTCTAGACAAAAAAATTGGATTCACTTTTGAAGTGGTTTTAAGTATTCTTTGGAAAGATTATACCTACAAATGCTCATTTGCCCATTAGGCAACTGAGAAGTACAGGTTCCAACATAATGATTGGCTTTCTGCAATCCAAGTAGTTTGGTAGGTATTTAGGATTAAATGATAAAACTTCTCTCTTCTCTGAAATGCAGAAGAGAACCTCAAGCTCCCAAGAGTGCAGACAGCCAACGAGAAAGCTGCAAAGTCTGTTGATATAGAATGATTAAATAATGAGATGGAAGCTAAAGGAATTTGTTCATGAGACTTTAAAGCTTCTTATTACTTCTTATCACCCACCTGTGTATTCTGTTAGGTGTTGGCCTATTTTCCCATATTTATAGAATCAGGAACATATTCATGCAATTTATGTATTAAAATCCGAATTAAAATATGGTAGCATATATGGCTGAAACTAAATCAGATAATCTCTCAATATTTTTGTTCTTTTAAAGAATATCTGGGTGCCAATTATTACAGAAGATATAGTTCCCCAAACTTGCCTCTATATATAAATAAGATATTTAGCTTTTACTTTAGTATTAGTTTTGGCTTTATTACAAAGATCATTAGTATAAGAAATAGAATTTGAGGATACTAAAATATGAATAATAATTTGTTCACATGTTCTAAAATATTAGAGCAGTGCCTAACACAGAGGAAGTACAGGAGTCAAATACCACTTTAATGGATGAACTCTAATAGTTTTTGTGCATTATTCTTCTCTCCTCAAAATCAGTGACCTTCAGGTTGTATTTAGTGGGACTAAGCTCACTTGACATTTAAAAAGAAACACAACAGTATAATTCTGTTATATTAATTCATTCATTCATTTAACAAGCTTTGTTAAGGGGGCGTGCTAGGGAATGAGAGAAACTGTGCTATATGTTGGGACACAAAGATGAAAAAGACAGACTTCCTGTCCTCAAGAGGCTATCAGTTTAATGGAAGAGACTCAAGGACAACAGAAATACAGCAGTCCATGTTTGTGTAGATGGACACTGTAGCATCGTGGTTAAGATTAAGACCCTGGAGTCAGGCTCTTCAGATTTGTAGCTCAGACCCGCCAGTACCACCTTGGGCAAATTACTTAAATCTCTCTTTGACTTAATTCCCTTATCTGTATTATGCTGTGGAAACATGAAGGAACCAGTTCCTTTGGGAAATTTGAAGAAAATCTTTCAAAGAAACATTTGAGTTAGGTTTTAAATTATTGAAGAGACTAAAATGTTCTTTGTTTCGTTATCTCTTCCTTTAGGTTGCAGCTTAACCATTACTTTCCTGGAGAACTTTGCCTCTCTGATCCCCTCTTCCCCCAACTAATTTAGGTCTCCTATTGTGCTCCTGTTCCACTTTATGTTTTGCCTTTTTATTTACTCAGGTTCACTTACTCAATTTATTTCTTATTTGCTAGTCTGCAATCTCCTAGGAGGGAGGAGGGCTGATATCTGTCTAGTTTATCCATATTTTCCCCAGTTCCAATTAGTTTCTGATGTTTGTTAAATGAGTATATCAGTTAAACAAGGAATAAGGAAAGAAGGACATCCCAAGCATAGGGAATAGCATTTAGAAATACACAGTGTTATGAAAGGTTTAGCCTAGAGTAGTATATAGAAAGGAAGAATGGGAGGCTGGAAAGGTAACTTCAGGACAGATTATGAACTGTCAATAAGTAAAATTAGTACTGCAATGTAATTTTTAGAAAGCTTCTGTGGTGATATCTGTTTTGGTGAAAACCATGATTTGGGGGCAGGTTTGGATCAAAATTAGTGCTGAGAAATTTACTTTTTTAAAAAAAGAAACTACATGGAAATCTATTTTAGTGAAAAGTCTTTTTTTTTTTTTTTAAGCTAGTTTGGATTAATATATATAATATTTATTTTCAGAAATTCCTGCACTGAAGTCCAAGGAGTTTGTCTTTTGTCCTGTCAGTAGAACCAACTGGGTTTTTAAGCAGATAAAAAGCAGCTTTGTTTAGGAAGACCATGATGCAGCAGGGTTTCCCAGCCTGGACACTGTTGACATTTTAGGCATAATTCTTTGTTGGAGGTATAGGGGTGTGTTGTGCATTTTAAGATGTTTGCCAGCATCTCTGGCCTCTACTCGTAGGAGGTCAGTAACAAAATATCTCTGAACATTGCCAATTGCCAATTTTGTCCCTTTGGGGGCAGAATCACCCCTGGTGATCTGAGAACCACTGCTGTGAACTACATATACATTAGACACTTAACCCATGAGATAATTCAGGCAGAGAAACCTTAGTGACTAGGAGGAGACTAGTACCAAGTACCTATAATACTAGTATAACCCCGATGAGGTGAGGTGGTCTGAATTAATACAGTTGCAGACTGGATTAGGATGGGGGGTGGATTTAAGAGATACTTATGAGAATCAACAAGATTTGGTAACCAGGTAGCTCTGGAAGCGAGGGAATCTGAGATGAATCTTGGGCTTAAGTTGGCTGCATGTAAAGCAATGCCATTAACCTATAGTAATAGAGATTTGTTTCTCAGAGTATGGCCCAAGGATTATAGGCCTGTGGGTCTGGAGGAGAAAGCAAATCTGTACACTAGAGTTGGAGAACTACTATTATAGATTCCTAGACTGATAGAATGTTAAAACTGTAGAGAACCTTTGAGGACATTTGATCTAGATTTTTAGATGATAAACTAGGCCCAGAGAGATGAAGTATAGCTAAAGGCTAACAGGACAACCTAGTCTAGAGTATGGGCCTGCTAATTCTGTTTCTTTCTTTGTACTGACACTACTCTCATCTGTGTAGAGAGACAGATGTTCCCTTTATAGACTCCCCACCTTTTCTGGGTTTCTTAAGCTGTGTGTTCTGAATCTTCTTAGAGTTCATGTTGTCTATCCCTAGAAATTGTCTTAAGGAGCTATACAAATGTTTGATTTTCACTGAGATACCATTATCAGTAGCTAGAATATCATGTTTATGTGTATATCAGTTGTTCTCCAGATGGCACAAAGAAAATAGAGTCATCCCTTGCAGGGGGGATTAGTTCCAAGACCCCTCCCCGGTGTACGAAAATCCATGCATACTCAAGCCCTGCATTCGGCCCATATGAGAAACCAGCTTTTCTATCTATACGCAGGTTTGCATCCTTCAAATCTGTATTTTCAATCTGCGTTTGGTTAAAAACAAAAAAAGTCCACATATAAATGGGCTCATGCAGTTCAAACCCATGTTGATCAAGGGTCAACTGTATTGTCATCTCCCCCTCCCCAATACCTTAGAGCAGAAATGTAGTTGAATGAGTTATGTTTTCATTGACCAGTGTTGGTCGTTTGTTGTTTGTTTGTTTATTAAGATGGAATCTCACTCTATCACCCAGGCTGGAGTGCAGTGGCATGATCTCAGCTCACTGCAACCTTGGCCTCCCAGGTTCACGTGATTCTCCTACCTCAGCCTCTCGAGTACCTGGGATTACAGGCGCCCGCCACCATACCTGGCTAATTTTTGTATTTTTGGTAAAGATGGAATTTCACCACATTGGCCAGGCTGGTTTTGAACTCCTGACCTCAAGTGATCCACCCACCTTGGCCTCCCAAAGTACCAGGATTACAGGAGTGAGCCACCGCGCCCAGCCCCAGTGTGAGTCTTAACCTGTAACACCATGTGTAATATTGTTTTTTCATAATACTTAGAAAATATTAATTTTTAAAAGATTATTTGGTAACACACTGGTATATGGCTGAATCGGTAGACTATAAGGGACTATATATTCAACTTCCTGGCCACAATGCTGAAAAACTGTGTGTAACTAATTACATGTCTTATTTAGATACTTCTCTCATTCCTAATAGAAGTGATAAAAATTTAGGAATCCCTCTTTACATACTGTCATCACCTTCCTCCTTCTTTATTCTGGCTTTCCCTATTATCAACAGGAATTCATTTGGGTATTTTTAATCTTGAAGGTAAAGAACAATCACCTTTGGAGATGGGTATGCATCCAGTGGCAAGCGCTCCACTCTCAGTCTTTACTAAGGAATCTACAGCCTCCAAACACAGTGACCACCATCACCACCATCACCATGAGCACAAGAAAAAGAAGAAGAAGCACAAACATAAGCACAAACACAAGCATAAGCATGACAGTAAAGAGAAGGACAAGGAGCCTTTCACTTTCTCCAGCCCTGCCAGTGGCAGGTCTATTCGTTCTCCTTCCCTTTCAGACTGAGAAGGGGACAAAGAGACCTTTCCTTCCATGTCCAGAAGAATGTATGTAACTAAAGCTTTGTCCTCTCTGATGAATGATAAAAGGGAGGGGGGAAAGGATTTGCCTCTCCTACAGAAATTCTGAATTCATTTAAGTTCTAAGCATTTGATTTACATTATTTATACAGTTGGGATCTAATTAGGAAAATGTGTTTTGTAGTTCTGGATAGACTATTTCTTCCGCTGTTTCTTCCTCAAAACACACACACAGAGCAAACTCCTTTTCATAAAAGCCCTCATATCCACTGGCAGTCCCCATTCGCATCATGCTCTCCATGTGTACTGCCAGAGTCAATTATGTTTGAAAGCCTTTGGTGGATGTTATGGGGCAAAGTATGATTTACACAGAAGCAACTGCCAAATCCGTGGTGCAACCACTATCTCCAGTGAAATATTGTATAACACCATTTGGAACTACTGAAAAGACAGAGGCTTTTCTACAGGGCTCTTCCTTATTGCACCATTTTTGTATTAACCATAGAAACTAAGCATCAGAATTTATGTACAAAGAGTATGTTATTTTTCCTTTTGCTCTGAAATACTGAGATTTGGGGAAGCAATTCTTTTTTAAAAAAATTTTGAATAACTATCTTTTGATAACACATTCGGCGGTTATGATGTTGGAATTTAGCAGAACTATCAAATCCAAAATTGTTTTCAAATCAAGATGTTTAAATTATAAGTTGTTTTGTTTTCCAGTAAGTATGAATGAAAATATTCATATGTAAAATATGTTTTGCTAAATTTGGACAATTTACACACCCAACATTTACTTTTTCCAAAATTATTTCTGTGGGACACAAAGTATACCTTTAAAAAGGTGACCTTATATATTGTTTATTAACATAGAAATAGACAATTTGGCTCTCATACCATAAGCATTTTAAAACACATATGAAACGTTTTGATTTCATTGTATGGTAGTGTGTTTTTATTTTTATTTCTGAATTTTCCATATGCTTTAATACTTGTTTAAGAATATTTTTATATCTGTTCCATTTTTATCATTTCCCTTATCGTTAGAAAGTTTGACAAAAATACTTGAATATTGGTTCTCTAAATATACTTTTAGTTGTGTTTAACTTGTTTAATAAATAACTTTTTAAGTTGATCATTCTGTCTTTGTAGCTTTTTATATCTTGTGTTACCTTCTTGTGTGTGTATATGTAATAAACCTCTCCACATACTTTGCAGAGAGCTTTGTGAATAGGTGGGATTTTTAACTGGCCTCACTAGGAGGAATGATTTCAGTAGGCGGAGATGGAGTAAAGTTCTCTCAGCAGAAGAAACAGTATCTTCAAAGGTATGTAGCAAAGCATGGGTGTGTTCAGGAATTAGAAGGCTGTGCAGTTGGCCTGCAGTTTTAAGTGCAAAGGGAATATGATCAGATATTGAAGCGCCTAAATGACAGTTATTTAAAGTTTCAATTAATTGAATGTTGTCCAACTGAAATTATTTTTGGAAAATAGGATATTTTAGAGTGTATAGTGATACCATGTATAGAATTCCCAACTTTGAAAATTCTAAGCACACATTTCAAAATAATTACTTGTGTTATAGGAAGACATTGATAAATAATAGCTACCTATTATAATTCAAGCACCTCTTGTATGCTAGGCATTGTACCAGGAAGTTTGTGTTATGTATATTATTTCTTATTCAGATGTTTATATTAGATGTTTCTTCCAAGGAACATTTTTTAATGGTGAAGTCTCGATTATTTAAGCTTTTAATTGGGAGCAGACAATGAAAAGGTGTTTTATTCACATTTTTGAAATAGATAATTAAACACAATGCAGTTTCAATCTAAGTCTCCAGTCTCTTTTCCCAGAGGCAGTACTTTTTGACAGTATTATATATATCTTTCCAGCACTCGTCTATATATATATATTTCCATATATTTTTACAGTATGTACAGATTTTTTAAAATAAGCAGTAGCGTATAATACAGACTTGCAGAAATTGTTTTAATTATGCTTTATCTTTTATGGCTTTTGCATATTATTGCATAGTTACAAAGAACTTCCTTATTCTATGATTATATAATTCTTTCACTTTTTTTTAAATGTTCTTAAAATTTTATGTTTCAGGTTTACATTCTTCATCCAACTTGAATCCATCTGCAATTTATTTTAATAAAAAAAGTGGGGCTCAACTTTTTTTTCCTTCTATTTAATTTTTTCTTTTTTCTTTCTTTCTTTTTTTTTTTTGTTTTGATAGGGACAGAGTCTCACCATGTTGTGCAGGCTGGTCTTGAACTTCTGGCCACGGGCCATCCTCCCACCTCAACCTCCCAAAGCATTGGGATTACAGGCATGAACCACCACACCCAGCCTTGCCTCAACATATTTTTTAAGTTCCCTTTTAATTTCTTCATTGACTCATTGGTGGTTCATGCATTCAAGAGCATGTTGTTTAATTTCCATATACTTATGAATTTTCTGAAGTTCTCGTTTTGACTTCTCGTTTCATAATTGTGGTCCGAAAAATATGATTTCAAGTAGAATTTTCAGAATTTTGAAATGGACTAAAATGTAATTGAATTGACAGAAATCAAGAAGATTTCAGTCTTCTTAAATTCGCTGAAGCTTGTTTTGTGCCCCAGCATGTTAGATTCTGGAGAATGGTTCATATGTGCTCCAGAAGAATGTGTACTCTATTGCTGTTGGATTGAATGTTTTGCTTAAGTCTGTTAGGTACATTTGGTCTAAAGTGTTAAAGTTCAGTGTTTCCTTGTTAATATGTCTGAATGATCTGTCCATTGTTGAAAGTGGGGTATTGAAGCCTCCTTCAGTATCTCCTGCAATACTATATTACAGTCTATCTCTCCTTCAGATCCTTTATTAAGATGCTTTGATGTTGAGTGCATATATATTTACAATTGTTACACCCTCTGAATGAATTGGCCCTTTTGTCATTTTGTCCTTTGCCTCTTTTTTATAGTTTTTGGCTTAAATTCTATTTTGTCTGATACAATTTTTAATGTCACCCTGATACGTATACTATTTGGACTATTTTTATCATCAAAGTATGGTTTCCTTTACAATTATATATTATTCTAAAAATTTTATTACTACTTAAAAATCAGGGCTTAAAAGTATTTTTACTGTCCCGGGCACAGTGGCTTACGCCTGTAATCCCAGCACTTTGGGAGGCCGAGGAGGGCAGATCACAGGGTCAGGAGTTTGAGACCAGCCTGACCAACATGGTGAAACCCCGTCTCTACTAAAAATACAAAAATTAGCTGGGCATGGTGGCACGCGCCTGTAATCTCAGCTACTCAGGAGGCTGAGGCACGAAAATTGCTTGAACCCGGGAGGCAGAGGTTACAGTGAGCTGAGATTGTGCCACTGCGCTCTGGCCTGGGCGACAGAGTGAGACTCCATCTCAAAATATATATATATATATGTGTGTGTGTATATATATATATATTTACTGTAGTAAAATGACACATAATTAATGAGACCTCCTTTGTTTATCATACTAGAATATTGTGGCTTTATAAAATTTCCGAGCAACTGCTGTTCCATATACAAATTTTTAAACTTATTACCTGTGTAACTTAACCACAGTAATTGAAGGTCAGTCCACTCAGCATTGTTTCTTTCTGAAACAAACTCGCTTTATTTGATTTAGCCCAGTAATCTCTAAACATTTTTGCTTTTTTATTCCATTCATTTTCTTTAAAAAATGAGTGTACATATCTAATGCATGTATATTTATTATATGTAAATATATATGTATTAATATAGTATGTTCATTATAAAGTATATGTAAAGCTGAGCATGGTGGCTCATGCCTGTAATTCCAGCACCTTGGGAGGCTGAGGTGGGAGGACGGCTGATGCCAGGAGTTCAATATCAGCCTGGGCAACATAGCAAGACCCCGTTTCTACAAAAAATGAAAATGAAGACAACCAGGCATGGTGGCATGAGCCTATAGTCTCAGCTACTCAGGAGATGGAGGTGGGAGGTTCGCTTGTGCCCAGAAGTTTGAGGTTGTAGTGAGCTATGATCATGCCAGTGCATTCCATTCTGGGCGATAGCACAAGACCCAGTCTTAAAAGTTTTATTTTTTTCTTGAGACAAAGTCTCACTCTGTTGCTCAGGATGGAGTGCAGTGGTATGATCTCAGCTCATTGCATCCTCTACTTCCCAGAGTTAAGCAATTCTCGTACATCCGCCTCCCGAGTAGCTGAGACTACAGGCATGCACCACTATGCCCAACTAATTTTTGTATTTATAGTAGAGACAGGGTTTCACCATGTTGTCCAGGCTGGTCTCAAAACTCCTGACCTCAGGTGATCCTCTCACCTCAGCCTCCCAAAGTGCTGGGATTATAGGCGTGAGCCACTGGGCCCGGCCAAAAAAAAAAAAAAAAAATTATATTTTTCTTTTTCATGTGTTTACTTTTGAGGCAGGGTCTTCCTTTGTCACCCAGACTGAAGTGCAGTAGCACAATCACAGCTCACTGCAGCCTCAACCTCCTGGGCTCAAGCAATCCTCCCGCCTCTGCAACCCAAGTAGCTGGGACTATAGGCACCCACCATCACACCTGGCTAATTTGTATTTTTTTGTAGAGATGGGATTTTGCCATGTTGTCTATGGTCTTGAACTCCTGAGCTCAAGCAATCCACCCGCCTCAGTCTCCCAGGGTGCTGGGATTACAGGTGTGAGCCACAATGCCCAGTGAAATTATAATTAAAAAAAAAAAAAAAGAAGAAGAAAGTGTCACGATAGGATAAAGATGAAGTATTAGGTTGGTGCAAACATAATTGTGGTTTTTGCATTACTTTCAATGGCAAAAACCACAAATATGTTTGCACCAACCTAATAAATTATTTGTTAATGTCCTGCAGTTTGTGATAGCTTCATACTAAGTACTGAATTTATGAAGCCCCAATGTAAACTTAGTTCAATGTTCATTAGTAACAAAAGTTTGTCAATTCATAATTCAAATTATTTTAATTTTTTTGCTTTTTTTCCTCAAATCTGACTATGAGATTAAAAACTTACCATTTATCTTGCAATATTTAAGTACTTTTTATGCCTTAACTATTTAATTTTAGGCCAGGCACGGTGTCTCACACCTATAATCCCAGCACTTTGGGAGGCTGAGGCGGGCAATCACCTAAGGTCAAGAGTTTGAGACCAGCCTGGCCAACATGGAGAAACCCCATCTCTACTAAAAATACAAAATTAGCCAGGCGTGGTGGCGTGCGCCTGTAATCCCAGCTTCTCAGGAGGCTGAGGCAGGAGAATCGCTTGAACCTGGGAGGCAGAGGTTGCAGTGAGCCGAGATCGTGCTGCTGCACTCCAGCCTGGGCAACAAGAGCGAAACTCTGTCTTAAAAAAATAATAATAATTTTAGCAACAGCCATATGAGATAGGTATTATGATTATGATAAAGACTTTGAGGCATGGGAAAGTTAAGCCAAAGGTCACAGAGTTTGTATGTGATCGCATTTGGATTCACATCTAGCTTTGGAAGAGCTCATCCTATGAGATGAGCGTTAGTTTAACTTTTTTCAGTTATTTGTCCATGCGTGCATGATTGTTATTATTTTCAATCCACTGTTTGTAGGAATCTTTGAAGGACAGTTGTCTATTTTGTAGTGTTTAATTAAAACAGATGATACGGGCCAGATATGGTGGCTCACGCCTGTAATCCCAACACTGTGGGAGGCTGAGGCGGGCAGATCACTTGAGGTCAGGAGAGACCAGCCTGGCCAACATGGCAAAACCCATCTCTACTAAAAATTCAGAAATTAGCTGGGCATGGTGGCATGCACCTGTAGTCCCAGCTACTCGGGAGGCTGAGGCAGGAGAATCACTTGAACCTGGGAGGTGGAGGTTGCAAGTGAGCCAAGATCACACCACTGCACTCCAGCCTGGGTGACAGAGTGAGACTCTCTCAAAAAAAAGAAAGAAAGAAAGAAAACTAGATGATAGGCCAAGTGCAGTGGCTCATGCCTGTAATCCCAGCACTTTCCAAGGCCAACACAGGATTGCTTGAGTCCAGGAGTTCAAGAGCAGTCTGGGCAACGTAGAGACTATTTGTCTCTACAAAAAGCATGGCGGGGCACGGTGGCTCACGCCTGTAACACTTTGGGAG